GAAGGTAACAGTTTTCTGACTSAAGTGGGGTTAATAATCAGGTACCAAATAGGATTAGGAGGTAGAAATAACTRCTTTTATGTGTCTTCAGACCATTGATACATAATGTAGGTTACATAAATATAAACATAAATATTAGTAATCATTAAAACTGAATTTCAGATGTTGCATTTGCTTCAAAATCTTCCTGCTCATTTCTCTGTTGCCACACTCACAATTTTCCAGACTGTGAAATGGTTTTATTGTTGTTTTACAACCTCCCCTTTACAGAACAACTGAGGCTCTCCTCTGGAGTGTATGTTTTTAATATTTGATTTCTAACCATCTTAGGTTAGAAATKATTTGTTGTGGTGAAGAAGAACATTTTTCAGTGTACATGTGGTTAAAATGTTTTCTGGAAGGGAGATTGTAAATTTTAAACAAAGCTTTAATTAGTGCACTAGCACAGTGGCAAAGTCCAAAGGGTTGAATGGTTAGAGGTGAACCATAACTGAGATGCAGCTGTTTATGTAACTTGCCCAATTCAAGACATTTTTTGTCTGTCTGGGCCTTTAGGTTGCTCTGCTAGTGAAACAGTGTTATCTCTTGTAAAATATTAATCCTTTTAGAAGGAGACACATTTCTTGACTTTTTATTTGTGGCTTTATGGCTGGATATATGTTTAAATTACTTTTGTGCTGTTAGAAAAACTAGGTTTCCAAAAGAGCCAGCACCTTTGGAGATTGACCATGTAATTTGAAGTCTCTTCTTTCTTGTGTGTTGATTTTTCCCTTCAATATTTGCTGTTTTGAAGAGGTGCATTTGGATGGCTCTCTAGACCACATCCCTGCATTTGGGGGAGGAACTGGATGATGTTTGTCCCTTTTCTTCAGTTACCTGTGATGAGGAGCTTGCCTGAAGTTGATGTTGTGCATAATGTGCTTCATGCTGGTTGCTTCTTCTAAAGCATTCTGCTCTGGTGTGTGTACTTGGATTTCATCTTGCAAATATTTTWCTGAAATGTGTCACTCAGATCCGCCAGCCGTGCCTTCCAAACACAGAACTCCTCCAGTTTTAATGTTTTGTGATTTAATTTTACAAGTGTAACAGTTCTGCCTCCTTTGCTTGAAGATAGTTAAAATAAATAAATAAATAAATAAAAAAGTTGAATTTGCCTGTTTTCCTCTGAGATTTCATTTGGAAATATCATTGAGTGATGTGATACAGGCGACTGTAGTTTGGGTCTTAGGAAGAGCAGCATTTGACACGTGCTTAGACTGCAGGCTGAGAGGTTTAGGATGGACTCAGTMATCCTTTTCCTTCGAAGAGCCTTTATCATCTTTACCCAAACTGGCTCTGGGTTTAGATTTGCCCAAGRTTTCCAGTTCTGTGGGCAAATGATACTTACACAGGATGACAGCAGAGCGTGGAAACTCGGAATTGTTGGCTCCTGGAGGGCCTGTAGGAGAGCAGATCATCCAAATCAGGGGATGGGGGCAGCACAGGGCATGTGTGTCCCTGGCAACTGGAGCTCTCAGACACTTGCAAATTGTCTGATTTCACCTGAATTTCTAAAACAAGATGCAGCAGTATCACCCCAGGACTCTTGATACAGGGAAAGTAGCACAGGTATAGACTATTTCTGAGCTGGTATCAAGAGGAGCAATAAATAAACATTAAGGTATATTTCTTAGTAAGCTCAGTCCTGATGCTGATCAAATAYGATCTGAAGGCACTTGTTCTGCCACAGGCAAAATCCAGGTGGGGTGAGTCCCTCAGTGTATTTACACAGAGGTACAAGGGACACATATATGTGTACACAASCAAGAAATTTTATATATTTAGTAGYRTTTTGAGTTTTGAYTTTCTGGTAATTTTCTGAAGRAAATGTTGATTCTTATTTGTTTATGACCATAGAAAATTGTTGATATCCTAATTCATATTTTCAGGTGATATTTGGTACTTTTTGTGTGCAAATATGAGAGATGGACTCTTTTTGGTATGATTTATCTGATTCAGTGCATTTGCTCTGATCTTAGTTTTCTATGTCCRTACATACAAAAATAATCTATTTCTAATTAGTTAACTTCCACYTAAGATTTATTTAACCTCTGGTTTGAGTAGAAGTTCTTAATTAATTAAAMAAGAAAAACAAACCAAAATCAGTGCTTTTAATTAGCTTTGCCCAAGGAATTAAGAGTGTGTATTAAAAAGGTTTAATAAGACTTCTTTTGAACAAAATCCCCTTTGTAAGCAAGGAAAGCATCCATCATTCAGTGCATCAGAAAGTGTCTCTGATGTGCTTGAGATGTCAAGGATGACAGTATCTCATGCAGGTTTTTAATTGTTGGTTGGAGCAAGAAGACAACACTTCCTTATCCACTCTGAACCATCAGGTTGTTAAAATGAGCCATGCAGTCCCAAATAAAACACAGGTTTTTCTCTAGCCCTGGAAGAGGTGATTGGAGTGAAAAGCTGCTTTTAACACCTCAGTCCTGTTTTCAGRTTGTCTTCTGGTGACTAAATTCCACATGAGTTTTCAATGCAGTTTGCCTTAGAAACAAACACAACCTGGCTTAACATCTCTTCAACATTTTTTAAAATTATTCTACTACTAATGCTGATCCTGGGCCTTTTATAAAAGGAAATGCATTGGAGTAACTGCGAGTTATTTTGAGCGTTGAATCAGGTTTCAGAATTAGGTGTGTTAAGATTTCAGTCATACATGTTTATTCAAAACAAAACTTTAGAGCAAATTCAGAAGCTGTGACAGAGTAGACTCACATCAGTGATTGTTATTGAGACTTTTTTTACATGCTTTTTTTAGCCTGTTTTGTACTGACGAGGAAAGTGAGAATATCAAAGTCCCCTGCAGAATTTGATGTGTCTGTGGCTTTTCATCCATTCTCCAAAGCTTTTTATCTACTGTTTTACCAAGTGTACAGCCCAGCTAACTTGACACCGGGCTTTCTCCAAGAGAGGTGGGCTCCCTTGTACTTTTCCTTCTGTAGGTTAAAGCAGATTAACTGGCCAAAATTCCTTAATCCTGTGGAAAACCTGGCWGAGAAATCAAATAATTATTAGTGCTGAGGAAGACACGAAAGAAGGACTGCTCCTCTTGGTGGCCATCATCTGGGACAGTGCTGACATGTGCTGTAGAGCTGCCCTCCCTGCAGAAGTTGTGCCTATTCTCCCTCCCTAAGGCACTGAGTGTAAACCTGATCAGTCAGTAAATCACAGTAAGTCTGTTCTGTTGTYTCAGGGGTTAAGTAGTTGGAGAGACGTGATCTGAATATTGCAGAGAARTGGATTAATTCACAATTGTTGCTAAGATACTTTAAGGAAATAACAACTTRGGTCTGTTCATTGCAGGGAGGAGAATTGAATACAAGGTGACAGTCTGGTTAGAGGCCGTATTCTCATTTATTTTCTTGAGGAGCATGTCCAGACATCAAGGTTAAGGTCATAAGAGTCTTTTCATGTTCTCAACCATTCAGTTCCTGGTTCTTTAAAACAAAATCCACCAGCGTGAAACAAGAACCTGGGGTGAACTTAGATGCTGATCTTAATTTGAACTTGGTCTTTTTGAGGCAACCCACCATTCTGTGTATCATTAATGCAAGATCACTTTGCTTTCTGGTGCGAAAGGAACAGAAACCTTTATTAAATATTGAAATAAGAGGTTTATTCTATGAAAACCTTTGTGGATGTGAGCCGTGAAACAACAGAAGTGTAGCACCTGCAGGCAGAAGGAATGACCTGTCCCAGCACATAGCTCCACCTTGTAGCAGGTATTGGAATAAAAGGGCTCATCAGAGGGAAAGTACAGGCACGGGGAAAGCCTGACATCTGGCTTTCCAAGCATTCAGAGGTTTTTTAATCTATGCAGAGGAGTTGCCTTCACGACAAAAAGGGAGAAGCGTGAGTCTCTCTGGAAAACGTGACTGGAAAAGCTTTGTTCCCTCGCTCCTGCCTCCCAGCAAATTGCCTGAAAGAGGATCATCCACAGTGGTGCATCACTGCTGTTATCTCCCAGCATGACTCACTGAGCCATACATAGCAGCTCTTCTTTRGAGGAGATTTCTTACTCAGAGCAAGCTGCATGTGGAAACAAAGACTCAGCGTCAGACTGTTAATGTCACTTTTGCATTAGAATTCCTTGCGTGACAGACAAAAATATCTAAAAATGGCTTTGCCAGCAATGCCTGTCTGTCTTAAACAGGTATGGTCAGGTTAAAAATCCTCATCAGTTTTCTCCTGATTGGATGCTCTTATTTTCGTAGTATTTATATATTTTTGGGCAACAGGAATATTTGTTGATTGCACTGGCAAATTCTGGGTATTTCRGTATTTGGATTGCTGGTAATGCAATGTAGCAGGTGGCTTTTGGAGCATGCTTGAGGCTTTTTTTCTGTGTTTCTTTCTCCCTTTTATTGCCCAATCATATCCAAAATTAATTCTCTGTGATTTCTTTCTATTCTCTTAGTTGTAAAGGAACTGATTGTGAYATCCAAGTATGGCTTGTAATATTGATCTCTTGTAAGATCCTTCTGTCCTCCTTTCAGAAAAATTGGTTTTCTGAAATGCCAACTGTTGGTAATTATCAGGGTTAAACAGAACTATGTGAAGAGGCTCGTGACAGCCAACAGCATCCTCCTTCCATATTTTACATTGATTTAGTACCTTGTATCTCCTTTCTTGCCAAGAAAAGCCAGCCAAAGCTTTCTTCAAGGTTTCAGTGCTTGCTGCTGGACCARCCTCTCTGTCCTTATCCCCAGATGAACTCCAGCCTGAGGATCCAGAGCTGTGTTTTTCTAGTGCTGTTGCCAGCAGCACTTTTATTCTGTGTCCATTGCTGTAGTAGAGCATTGTGCTGTTCATGTTCTATGTTTGTTGACTCAGCTCCCAAGATTTTTAAGTATGCACTGGAAAGCAAAGAGTGCTTYCCTGTGTTTTGTGATATAGATGATGTATTAACAAAGCTGTTTTTGTAAAAGAAATATTCCTGTGTTCTGTTACAGGTTTTGGGATTTGAAGTTGATACGGTGAACTCTGTCCAGTTTTCAAACCACACAGGTAAAATTTTACAGATACTTCTTCACAGTCAGTGAACTCACTCATCCCATCACAGTGGAGAGGACACTGGTCTTAGCTTTYCATTCACATTTTCATGATTCAGGACAGACATGTAATTTTCATGTTTTGATTCAAGTTTTTCAGAAGTCTGGATTTSGGAAGAGGGAATTGGTGTGGTATTGTTCTCTTCTGCCCTTCACAGTGTGAGCTTCTTTTGTTAGGCAGTAATTTAATTAACTTGGACAGTGAAATAACACAAATACAGCCATTTACACAGCCAGGCCTGTGAATTAAGGAAGTCTTCAGAATGGTTTTCTGTGAATTGTGCCCCTTTGAGAGTCATACTCCCATTACCAACCTAAACATRAAAAGAATACTGAGGTAGGCCCAAATCTTCCTCTCTGTGTGTCCACCCAGATRGCTTGCAAGTATCCCAAAATTTCATTTTGGCAGGAGGAAGGGTGTTAATACATTTGGATGTATTTTTATTTAAGTTCTAAGCCTGAACACAATGCACACAACACATATGTTCAGACTTCCTAATAGCCACAGTGCTGGAGGACTTTATTTTTTAAAAGAAAGCTAAAATTTATGTTTATTTTAGCAAAACCTTTCACCCATAAAGAGCCCCAAGTGACTTACTATTTTTGGATCACTGGAGATGCATCTGCTGTCTTGGTGGTGGCAGGTTGGTTGAGAGGAGAGCTACTCTAGATAGAGAAAATCTATGGATGTCTTCAGAACATAATCTGACCGCAAATTCTGACTTTAACATCTTGGAAAAGAGCAAAAGTAGTTTCTGACAAAGATAAAAAAAACCCTGAAYCTTACAGGCACAGCTCTATTAATAAACTACTGATTTTTGGAACAGAGAGCATACAAAGAAGCCTCTGTCTTCTCTTACTCTGTTGAACTTCATGGAGCTTTCGAAAGGTTGTAAAATGCCTATCATGGAAGAAATTTCCAAAGGCAGCTTGGGAAGAAGAAATTAATGTTTCAAAGGTAGCTTGGAAGTTATCTCTGCTTGTTGRGGAAAGGTACAAAAGAGGTAATAATTAAACAAGGGAATGGGGGCCTACTCTGGCTCAGGCAAAAATCTGCTTATTTTGCTTGTACCCTTTGGCACAGTACAAAGGTTCTCTTGTGTTTTTCAAAGGTACTTAGATGTGGCTTCTGTTTATTTAAAGAATGTATTTAGTTTTGGAGTTTGGGATTTTCTGTTGTTTCGTTCSGATAGCTGGGTAAAACTCTTGTAATCTTCCAGAAATGAAGCAATTTTTTAATGTCAAATAATTCGATGCTTGAAATGCCTGAGCATGTGTTGCTTATTGGCTTTYTGTTTCAAGATTAAAACAGCTTTATAGGGCATTGAAAGAGCTTAATAGAAGTTTTATTGACCATAAACTCAATGTATCTGAAGGGTGGAAAATTACATTACCAGTAGGGTGATCAGGTTCTAAAAACAAAATATAAAAAATATTTAAAATTTTTTAATAGTATCACGCCAGGGAAAGGTTACCAGTGTTTCATTCAAGGTTTGGCAGATAATGAGGACAGTGGAAGGAACAACAAATTAGTGATTCCTAAATGAGGACACMAAAATGAGTGGCACTGAAATGAGCATCCCAAACCTAAAAATATCTCTAAAGATCATAAATCTTTAAAATACTGGAACTACTCCCAATGTTTAGGACTCACTTTTTTGTTTTTTTTTCTCTAATTTAGATTTTTTTTTTTACTAAATCTGTTAAAAAATCCCAAAGTTTGCCACAAAACCTCATGGTTTTGGGAAGCAGAGCTTGTGTCTGGCACCATCCTGCAATACACAGGCATCGTGTGTGTGGGTGAATGGGTGAAGGTAATTTGATTTTCCTACAAAAACAAAATTTTACAAGAACCATTTCTGTAATCATCATTAAAGCTGRAGGACAAACTCCTCCAAAATCCAACGGTGAACTTTAGTTTCTGGAAGAATGCAACGTAACAGAGGAGCACAGGTAGAAGAATGTGTGGAGTTTTAGATGCGATATTCTTCCTTTCCTTCTTTCCCTGTTTTTAAACTTGGAATTGGCAGCAAATAAAATGCAGAGAGAATTTATGACTAACAGACTTTGGTGAATCATTATTGCTCTTTTTTTGCCCTGTCTATAAATTAGTAAGATACCACAGGCCTCTTTCTGCTGACTCCTGCTCAGAAAATTCAGCTTTCTTTAGCCTCTGCTAATCCTGAAACTCGGAAAATGTGTTTTAAATCAGTGCCCCTGGGAGAACAGTTTGTCGTGTTGCTTCATCAGGAACTTTAGTGATTAGAGTGACTCACACTTGAATGGCATCATGCTTCACATACAAATAAAAGAAGCTGTCATGCAGCCTGCAAAGATTCTTTATCCTATATTACTATACYGTTTGCAGAAGGATCTCCTCGTCTGATGTGCAAAAATTAAAATCTAGATTTATTTTTAATTGTATAATATAATTTTTGGGATGCATTTTTAATTCTTTGGTGATTTCATTTTTGTTTCTCATTGCTAGATTAATTTTAAGCAATAATGTGCTTACTCTGCCATCCAAATCCTTCCTTTAAAACAGCTCAGGAGCAAATAGCCTGGCTTTTTTTCTAATACTTCTCTTTTTTTTCTTAAGCACTTTTGACTTCCACTCAGTGGATGTGTAGTAGGTGGTTGGGTTGGCTGGCAGGTCTAAAACATGAGAAATCACAATTATGTCTTGATGTGATTCTGCACAGTCTGCCCACCCATGTGCAGTCACTCACCCCTGCTGGTGCAGGGCAGAAAGAAAAGATCTCCACTCGTGCCTGACACTGCTGGCATTTCACTCCCACACTGTGACCGGCTGTAAAAAATCCAGTGGGGGGTTTGGCACTGAGTTTCTGGTTTTATTGAAGGTCTCCTGGTAGCTACACATGAGTCATGTGTTCAGAGCAGGTTGTCTGCTGGAGTTTGCAATGTGAATTTTGTGACACAGCTGGGCCCACATTGCCTGTCCATCATGTGCCTTAAAMACTGGAACTTTATTCCTTTTTCCCATGTGAAATTCTTGTCACTGGGGCCACTTGGAATAGTTTTGCAGGGAGCACCACAGGAGGGACTCAAACTTCAGAACATAATGTTCTGGGTTGGAAAACAAAGGAATCTCACATGCTTTGCTATACTAACATTGTAGCTTGTTTTTGTTGATCAGTTTGCTTGTTTTTTTTTTTTCTTTTTGATTTTCTTGGTACTTTCATTTTCTTTCTTCCTTGTTTTTGAAAGTGAGAGGGTGAGAAATACATTCCAAAGGAGGTAAAACAAAGCAGAGAAAGGCAAGTATGTAAATTCATCTTGGGTGCAGTATTAGCTGCCTCTCTCAGTTATGGCTTTGTTTATTTTTTTTATTTTTCATATGAATCAACCCACACATTTCCTTGGAGACTGATGAATATGTTTATCATTTTAGAGGGTAAGTGACATGGGTATAATATCTTACTGGGTTTTCATTGCCTTATCTGCTCAAAGCAAATAGATAACATGTAATCGCAATAAAAGATCATAAAACAGGTAAGCAGAAGGGCTATATGGTTATTTAAGTGTTTATGCTCATCTGTGTGTTTAAAATTAGCACAAATTTGGGTGACTAATGCAATCTGAGCCAAGTGGAGTTTTGAAGAGCTGTGTCAAGATTTGCAGTGTTCTCTCTGCTCTCTTAGACCAGCACTGAGGGGGATTATTTGTTGGTTTTGTATCCAAAATGAGGAAGACTCACTCAGCTTTCTTCCTTTTTGCCTTTCCCCTTTTAAGATACTCTCTCTTCTTGGAACCCCAAGGTATCCATCCTCCAGTCAGTGAAACTTTTTTAGAACATGAGTAACTGTCTGCTTTTTGGTGTTATATTCCACCAGGAAAGTTGGATAAATGTGGGATCATGGGATTTGCCCCTTGTTTGTCATGTTTCATGTAATTACCCTGGGGAAAGGACATAGAGAGGTTCCCATCTTGCTGCCAGTTTTGATTTTGTTTGATTTTTGCTTGAACATAATTCAATTCCTAGTGACATCACAGTTCTCTGCAGCTTCAGTGAAGATATTCCCTCTTTTTTTTTTTTAATGCCTCAATAGCTGGGGTTTCCCTGAGAGCTTCCCTAGGGCTTTGTTTTTAACTCTGGCTGTCTGTAGTTAGACTTCAGGTTGTATTGCACATTACCAGATTATAAAAATGATCCTCAAGTTACCTGTGGAAGTCATTGCTACAGAGTTCAGACAGTGTCCCTACCCCATGTGGGTGCCACCAGTTCCTGAGCTATGCTGGTGCCTAATGCTGAGTTTTTGCATTTATTTTTTGCCTTTCATGGAGGATCAGTGTAACATGAACTTTGTGCATTGACCATTTAAGACAGCTTGACATGGGAAGGTGAACTTGTAGTTAAACAGTGAGTTTAAGTGRTCTCTGTAGGAATGGCTCCCGAAAGTATCCAGGTTGTCTGGGCCATGTATCAGTTATTTTTGTGGCCATGTAGAAGATGAATGTTGATATTTTTGCCTTGATTCTGGGTGAGAAGCGCACCAAATTTCCCTGATGGCTGCAGTGGTAGGACTCTGTTGTGTCCCTGTACTGGCTTTGCACTGCTGCAGAGATTTGGGGAAGAGGAAAAGGCAGATTATTTCTCTGTGGTGCTGCAGATGTGACAGAGCAACCATCTGTATTAAATAAACCAAATACTGGATTTAGGTGCAGTCRGGGGTTCTTCATACACTTGGAGCTGGGTGTGTGCCGAGGTGGGGGGTGTTGCAATGAAACTACAGCCCTACCTACAGAAATCCCTCACTTTGTCCCTTTCATCACAGGGTCTTTGTRAAAAGCATTTTCGTGGGAGAGAGTCGTGGTGGCTGATGTGAGTCAGGCCCCYAGCCAGCTGGCAGCGAGTCGTGTTTTAGAGGCTTGGCCTTTGTGAGCTGAGGAGAGCAAAGTGATCCATCTGYTCACCATACTGTGGGTGTATTTGCATTCATAAGAAGGAAAACTGAAAAATGTGCTTATCCCAGGCTCTAGGCACCTTTTGGCAGTCCCTCTAATAACTCAGTTTAGAGTGATAATCAAAGCCAACAGTTTTCATCACAATTTTCTAACTGCGAGAGCAGAAGTTAAAACAAACAAAATACAATTGTCTTTACACAGGGGAGGTGTAAAAGAAGATACCTCATTTAAACTTTGACTTTTCCTAATTCCAGTTTATATAATGATAAGCTTTTTAACAAACTCTGAATTTGTGGAGATTGAAAGAGTTAAATTGTGGATATATCATATCTAATATCCCTTTATTACACACAAGGGAGTGATTGGTGCCATCTAGATGGGCAGGCTTTGATGATAAGCTTCAAGGTGCATTTACATTTTACAATAAATGTTTAGTTTCTTTTAAGGTAGATTTTTTTTTCCTTGGAATTGGCTGCCATGGATCTTGATCCACTGTTCGCTGAAATCAGTTCAGCTTATCCCAAGTAACTTCACCTTCCATCTGCTTCTCTCAGCTGAGCATATTTGCTTGCAATTCTTAGAGTTCATTCAAGAATGAGAATATATGGGTATTATTTATCTGTTTGTAGTGCCTTTCTGCTACTCATTTCCTCCTCCAGGATCTTCAGSACTAAAGCTGTGCTATTTTAGGAAGAAAGTCTGTCAAGATGACACTATGTTTGAAGAGCATCCATGGCAGTGTTCTGCTGTGGTCACTGTGCAATGCAGGTCCCAGTGAGTGCTGTATCTGATGGGTAAAGACCTGTGTCCAGACACATCTATAAACCTGTTAAGATTGTCATCTAACTGTCAATATTTCCTTTTTTGTTTTTTAAACATAGTATGAAGTAGTAAAAGTAGCTTGTACTGGCACCCTCCTCCAGTAAAGTCTAAAACATATGTTTTTCCTCCTCCACACAGGAAAGGGATAGTTGCAGAAGCTCCATGGGAAATCTTGCAGGAGCTTGTGTGTGCTCAGCTTGATTTGCTGGCAAATGGACACTCTCAGACTGCAGTGTAGTCACTCGGGTTCCTTTGGGAGGCAGAGCTGCTAAGAAGAAGTTGAGCACATTCACTGTTCTGCTGACAGCAGCTTTCATTCAGCGTTTTACAGGAGAAGAGGTGGAAACGCTTCCTGGTGCTGATGTTCGGTGTGGTCACTCCAAGCACATCATCTGTGTGATCTGAAATAGAAAATCCATCTCTTGAAAAATCACTTGGTGTTTTCTTTSCAGGCTATGCCCACTGGAAGGGTCAGGTGTTGAATTCAGATGAGCTTCACGAACTGTACGAAGGACTGAAGCTGAACAAGGTCAACCGCTACGATTATGTACTCACAGGTAAGAAGAGCTTGTTTCCTGGAATTCCCARGAGATGTAAACAGGAGTAAAGAAATGGAAAACATATCCCTCCCTRTTGCAAACCACCAATTAAAATCTGACCTGTCTGTATTCTGTTTATATAYTCTGAACTGGCTYGTGCTGTTTAATTTGGARCAGCCAGAGTTCTCCAGCCTGGAGGTTGTAACTGGGTAGGTAAATTGATATCCTGGTATAATTTACAGACTTGTACAGGCACACTTGATATTTTGGGAGTGCCTCTACTGGAACAATGGATGAGGAGTGTCAGAGTATTTTTTTTTTAATTTTTTAAGAAGACATGATTTTAACCCTTTCTCCTAAGTCTGCAGTACTAGCACTCTGTGCCACTGCAGCATGATTTTATACACAGTTTTCTGTCCTTGATTTTTTTATTTGATCTTTAAATCTTAATGCTTTGGACACAGAGCAGAGTATGAGCAGAGYTGGGTTTTGGTTTTGACTCTGTCACATATCTTGATTTTTTGCTATTGTTACTGTRTAGGTGATCTGAGTGAATACAGTTCTGCACTGTTTCCCTTTGCTTGCACTGGGTACAAAGTGCTTATGAATACAGGCAAAGAGAACTTCTTGTGGAATACTTTATAGAAAGGAGATGTTCTACAAGAAGTTTTTATTAAAATTGCTTCTTATCCAATTCCTGCTTCTCAAAAATAGGTTACAGATCAGATTTCMCCTCAGTAAGAGCTCTGCATCTGGTTTGGGTAACGGTATCAATTTCTTAGAGCAGTGAGCAGGGACTTTTTAAAGGTAATGAGAAATATATCACCAGACTTGATTGATGTCATGGCTTCCACATGTAGGAAAGTTCTTATACATGGGAAAACTGGAAATTTTAAGTGTATGGATTATAACCTCAAAGCAGTCATTCTGGCTTGAGGGGTGTGGTATGTCCAAAGCACCATTGTCTAGGTTTTTTCAAGGAATACCTCCAAAATGAAGGAGACTGAATAGCAAATAGATTGAACTAAGGTTAAAAAATTAATTTTTACGTAAATAGGTTCTTTGCTGTTGAGAAATACACAAACACCCTTTCTTTCCTGGAAGGAACTCATGTAGAGGACATTTCCAGGAAAAKCACACTGTATTGTAGGAATTCTCAGGATATGTGTGCAGAAATTATCAATAATCTTTGAGTATTCTTTTAGCTGAAATGTTTCTTTTTTATTTTACTTCCAACTCTTGGAAAAGACCTCTTGTCTGTTTCAATTACTGGCAAAATGGTTGTAAGGGCCAGAAGTGATGAGAAGACAAACAGAAACCTTTAGCAAAAAGAAATTTTGGAGAAAAAAATGAATATTCATTAATATGCCTTTTAAAGTAGTATTTTTATGTGTTGTTCAAGTTTGTTTTAAAATCTCATTTACTGTAGTAATTTTTACTATCAACAAAAAGAAGGCATAGGTAGACACAGCAGTAATTTCTGAACATTTAATAATACTTTTTGTGTTTTAGTCTTCAGCTGCACTGTGGCTGAACTTAAAATTCAGGTTTTTCATTCAGGGCCGAAAGTTAGATATTTCTTTTCAATCTGCAATTCACTGTAGTGCACAACTACTTAGTACATTCAACAACCTGGATATGATTGCTCAAACACCAAAAAGCAATTTATCAGCAAGTGGGATTTGACTGTTAATTTTCTGATGACTGTGATATCTCAGCTGGGATTAAAATTATTATCTTTAGGCCAATTATACAAAGTAATGCACCATGAAAATTTGTAGCTTAGTTATTTGTAGATCTTCATGTATTTGTTTCATTTACAGTAAGACACTCAAGGTAAGAGATAAATTCCAGTTCAGTGTAACTGTTTTAAACACTTCTGTTGATGATGCTACTCAAACTCATTATTTTTTTCCAGCCAGTCTGCCTTCACAGGTCATTTAAAAAARAAAAATCTTTACWTAACACTTTTGACTGATTATCAGCATTTCATAGATAACAGACAGCATTTYGGCAAAAAATATTTGAAATTTTTTYCATTTCTCTGCAACACCTAAGAACTGATCTATTTTGTGAGTCTAAAAAGAAAATCTCTAAAACCTACTTTTTAAATGTACGTTTAAGTATTTTATTAGAGGGGACATTTCCAAGGACATTGAGGATTTGAAGATGCTAGCTTGCTAAAAGTAATAGTATTAAATCACAGARTCACAAAATATKCTGAGTTGGAAGGSAKCCACAAGGATCATCGAATCCAGCTCCCAACCTGCAATGGACTATCACCAAGAAATTAACTACAATAAATTAAAATCAAATTGTTAATTAATCGAAGTTGTAACTAAAGTTAATACATAAATATATAAATTAAGAAACATATATAAAAAAATAAAAACTATTGATTAAATAAGAATATTGTGGTGCCAGCATGGTGATTGGGGCCTTGAAATACAGTAAAACTTATTTCCARTTTCTTTCACTGCTTAGCCTAAGARATAGGAACTTTATTGGTATTTTGGAAATAGCTTTAAAATAGTCAAGGTTAAACCTCTGTTGCATTAATGTGTTGGACTCTATCGGCGTGAAGATTAATAATAATAAAAAAATGCTTCAAGACCGTATGAGGAAAGTATATGAAATTTAAAATATTTCCTGTTTACTGCATGAAAAATAGTACTGATCAGAATACTGTTTTTATCAAAAGAAATGTTTTTTCCTTTTCACCTGACCTTTGTTTATATACGTTCAAGCATTTTGAAGTTATGTGAGCCTTTCATATACAGCGTTCTTAATAAATGGATTTTTAAGGTTATACTTGTAGTTGTGCAAGTACCTATTATTCCTGAGTCAACTACTGAAATGCCTTTGTTCTAAAAATGCATTTATCCAAAGAAAGAGAAGTAGGCAGCATTCCTGTCAAAAACTAAAAGCAACAAAAGTATTCATGAGAATAAATTTCAAAGGTGCCTTCTTTTTTTTTTCCCCAAGGGTATACAAGAGACACCTCATTTCTTGCAATGGTGGTGGATATTGTCCAGGAGCTGAAGCAACAGAATTCTAACCTTGTGTATGGTAAGGATGTGCATTGTAATCCTTTCTGCTTCCTCACTGGGTGTRCTCATCATTTTCACATTTTAGGATGAAAACACTGGTCTGTGTTACGCAGCATTTCTGGTCTGGCTGGAGCCAGCTGGGCCTCCAGTGATGTTTCATTTCAGCTTTAGGTGTTGAGGGAGTTGGGTTTTTATCTTCCTTGCTGCCTTGCAGTGTGTTTCTTTCATTKTGGCATCCAAAGGAGAGTCCTTGAGGGCTGGTTGTCTGTACCCAGGAGAAGATAAAAATCCCAGCCAGCTGCTGCTGCTGATAGTTCAGGGGCTGTGTGTGCTGATAGATGAAGCCTCTCCTTGATTTTCAGGTCAGCCAGAGCACGACAGACTCTCCCATGTTGGCCTGACATGTTTCCATGTAACATCCCAGAARTGTCCTACTTTGCTTCATAAGCTTCATGATTTACCTTAAACTCCAAGGCATTTTTAGCTCTGGCACCTTCTGCTGATGTTCTGTGGGAGCAGCAGGCTCCAGCAGCTGTCACTAAYGTGCCATGCAAGGCTTCAACCTGTGAGAAAAGATTTCTTCTCTTYCCTTCCTTCCTCCCTCTCCCGAGTGTTTCAGGACTCTTGAACATGATGAGCACAGGCTTGAGTTGAGAAAAATATTTAGAGTGACAGGACAAAGTCAGTGAGGATTTAGTGGGATAAAAAGCAGGGAATGATGGTTTGAGCTGTCATTTCAGGCTCAGTGAACAGTGTGGTCGGGAAACATCTGGAATGATTGGCAGGATTTGCAGGGTGTTGTACTGCRCAGTGATACCTGACTTAAAATTAACAAAGCACAGATCTCATTTAGCAAAATATAGCAGAGAAATTTCTGGGTTTTGTTGCTTTTTAGCCTTTTTAATGCAATTGGATTGTCAAATTCTTCAGAGCTTTGTGTGAAAGCTAAAGGGTCTTTTGGATACAAACAGAAAGAAACATCTTCCTGTGTAGAACAGGAAGGAAGTGGTCAGATGGTGAGATCACAGCAAGTATTCTAAGATTCTGTCTATTTAATAAATACAGTGTAATATAAAGAAARTACTTTTTAAAATGTAAAACAAATTGCCCTCTTTTTACTCACAGAAACTTCCTTAAATACTGATTGGACATTGATTTGTTGTCTTTGAATTTGTATTTCTTTTTTTATTTTGCTTAAAGATCTTTTAATACAATGAACAGTGTTCCTGTTTGTAGGACAATGGCAGGCTRTTTCCATCCTCACTGAGGACACTTGGAATGTGTTTTTAGTACTGCTGGTGATCCAGAACCTGTGCCAAATGTGTTAATATTACACAAGTATGAGTTTATGTACTTTGGYATGAATTTTCTTACTGTTTAATTGTAATTTTAAAAAAAGATACACATACCATTTTGGTGTGTACATTTGGCATGTATTTTTTTTACACTAAAGGAAGAATAGGACTTTTTTCAGAGCTGTTAGCTTCTCCCATGTTTCTCCCCACCGTGCTACCCTTCCATAAGGTTGGGTAGTGAATGGGAAGGCTCTCTGTGTTTGTCATAACAAAAGCCCCTTTACTCCCAGCAGTCAGACTTTGTCATCCTCATCTCCTTCAGACACAGCAACATAGAATCAGGTAGAAGAGGGTAATTCCAACCCTCTGACAACTCTTTGAGAAACAAGGCCTACTCTTTCAAAACTGGCAGCCACCAGTTACAAGTTTCAGTGTGCTGCAAGGCTATGAGAGTGTGTGAGCTTTGAGGTGCGCAGTGCTGTTCCATAACCATTACTGTTACCTAAAATCTTTCCTTCTCACCAGGTCTTTATAACTGTACCCTATTTCTAAACATAAATTTATTCCGTTACAGTGTGTGATCCAGTGATGGGTGACAAGTGGAATGGAGAAGGCTCCATGGTTAGTACTCATCTTTTTGGGCTCTCTCTGTAGTGAATGTTATATAAAGATGTAAAAGATTTATTMATTTTTAACAACAAAACTAAGCTATTTTACCTTAGTGTGGCTTTGGATCCCAGCAGCATCAAGTTTGGACTTAATTTTCTTGTATTTGAATGAGATTGATATCTGGGAAAAGTGACAGCCACAATTGTGGTTGAGGGAAGGAGTGTTGCAGTCTCACATCTCAAAAGCTGTTGACAACTTCTGAYGCTGTTTTTTGTCCCCAGTATGTGCCCAAGGATCTCCTGCCAGTCTACAGGGACAAAGTTGTACCYGTTGCAGATATAATCACTCCTAACCAGTTTGAAGCTGAGTAAGTGCTTATTTCCTTTTCTAGCCAAATAAACTTGGGGGGAAAATGCAAGGAGGATTGATACCRTTAATTTTATTTATCTCAATGTAGTGTCTTATGTATGTATATGTTGGGCTTTGGGTTTTTGCTGTTACTTCCAAGTGGTGTTTTTCAGATAACTTCAACTGCTCCATGTTGAAACCAATAGAAAAAGCAAAGAGTTACTTGAAGAAAAGATTCTTGTTTCCCCCAGTCTCTTGTTTTCATTATTATTTCTGGTTTCAGAAGCCTTTTTCTACAGCAGGTTTAAATAATATCTTCCCCATCCTTACCCACTACTAAGAAAATTTTTATTACGTGCCAGAATATCAGAACTGAAATAGTTTGGTTCAACCACTCCCCAAAATTAGATTCAGAGATACCACCACAGCAACATTTCATAGGAGCTAAGAATTTRAATGCCTGCTGCTTGTCTTGTCTACATAGCTGTGACTCTTTGGCCAGGAGATAATCTGTGGTGATGCAGCACAGGCTGTCCCCCTTAAGGGGAGGGARCAGCTACCTGGGAGAGGGAGAGAGGACGTTTGTGAGGGAATTTTTGTGATCCAGGGATCTCTGGAGGAGGCAGGGTAGGACTGGTGTGTCTGTGCACGTATCCTGTTAGCACAGAGGTCTGGTCCAGCAGACCGTGCAGCTGCAGATGGCTTAGGCCTGTTTGGTGCAGTCCAAGCTTCCYTCCTTTCAAAGGGCAAACAAAGCAGTCCCTGCCTGGAAAACTCATCCTCTTTTAAGGTTTCTGTTTCATTCTCAGGTTACTTACGGGCAGGAAGATTTACACGGAAAAAGATGCACTGGAGGTAAGAAGGCAAAGGGTGGGATRTGTGAGGTCTCTTTCTCCATTCCTKCCTGCAGTGCTGCAGTTTGCAGTTTGCCTTTAACCTTGGAGTCACTTTGTCCTTTCTGTGTGTTTATCATTRAAGTTTGTGCACTGCAGGCACTAAACATTTCCTGTTTCAGTGTCAGACTTCTGAAGAAACTTCCCTAAATCGCTCCAGATAAAGGGATGACAGTGTAATGAGGAGATCTCTCTGAGCCCACTTTCTGCAGTGAGGGAGTGGCAGCAGCACACGTGGCAAATACCCAGACACTGTCAGCTCTGGGAATYATTTGGTTGGGGTGAAAACCCCAGGGGACCACGGGCATTAGGAACTGTTTGGGGCTCTGCCGTCCCCAGTCAGCAATGCTGAGCGTGAGGACAGCTTTTCCTTGTTCTCCCAGATAAATCCACAGCACTGACAGCTGCTGTCCTTGCCATGTGGAGGTGATAGGTGGCCTGCAAATACATTGCATCAAGGTGTAAAGATTTGCCCTTYCACACAAAGTGAAGAAAATAAAAAGCTGTAGGGCTTGTTGGTGAAGGACAAAATAGAAATACRGTTTTATTGATGTCTTGAGAAAGGCTGAGCTCTTTGTTTTGTTGACTAGCCAAGTGCTTTCATAATGGACTGATGTTATTCCTTCCAGTTTGGTTTTGAACTTCAAAAGAACACAAAATCTTTAAACAAACAGCAGCTGCAGTGGCACCCTGGAGAGTAGCTGGGGGTCTCTCAGCCCAAATGTTTGTTGTTTTTTGCTGTAGCAACACCAGACAACATGGGTTGGTCACCATCACTTCACAGCAGGAAGCAGCCCCAGAGATCTCATCTCTTAGCATTTCTACTGCCCCAGTTTTACATTACCCCACCGTGATGGGGGAGGGTGATGAGCTCTGCTTCTTGCCACTGGCTGYTCAGTTCTCCTGTTCTCATCCTCACAGTGGAACCAGAATCTTGAGGAGAACATAATTAGCTGAGCAGCCATTAGTTTTAGATTTGCACATTTCAGCTGAAAACATGAGTTGCTTGTGCTAAACAGTTTTGCCAATTAATCTTCTGACTGCTTCATGCCATAGCTGACTTTTGATGGCCTTTAAAAATATCTGTCCCAAAGAGACAGAATTGTATTTAGGAATGGAAACATTTTTAAAGCAGTTGTTTGCAGGATATTATATTTTCATCTGTCAGATTTTGCAGCAGCATATCATATATGGCTCTGAGTAAAAATCCATGCTGGAATTTCTCTCCTTTGGAGGTGGTAGGAATTCTGGGATTGATTTCCATGGTTTTGTGCTTTCTCTCATTTTTTAACAAGACTTGTGATGGTAGTAGTCTTCTAATATAAAATTAAGTACGATGTAATAATAATGGGAAAGGGACTGAGTCCTATGACTAGAAATAGTGGTGATTAGGATCCTGGTGAATTGTGACTGAGAAATGAAATTTAGTTTAGTATTACTGTACAGATTGATTGTGTCAGTGTATGCTKGTGGATTTACTGCTTCTTTAAAACCCAGCTGATGTCTGTGCAAAGAGGTTTGACAGCTGAATAAACTTGGAGGCTTAGACAAGAAAGAAAAGCAATAAAGTATTAAAAAATAGCAGAAATAAATCCTTATCATTCAGCTGCTCATGAGTCATAGCTAGCCTGAGAGGATTTTTAGTTAAACTCTTCTGGGAGAATTAATATTTTATCCATGTTTTATGCTAAACTCATTATTGAAGTAATTCGTTCTTCTGTGAAATCAAAATCACTTCTGTCTGTAACAACAGAAGTAGAGTATTAATGAGTTTAGGTGAGGAACACACAGAGTGGAAATACATCTGAAAAGGTATACAATTTACAGCTGTATTTGGGGCTTGACACAGAATGAGAAAAGAAGATTGAGATAGACACACTTGTGCCTCTGATTTAGACTTTTTAAATTTTTGCTAACTCTAAAAGTAGTAGCCAAGTAAGATCTCATGACCTGGAGTTGTTTGCTTTCTAGATAACGTTTCAAGATGCCAGCTCAGGTGCACATCAGTTGTTTTTATTCTCTTACTCTTTTGATAATATGTTCTGAAACATACGCAGACAAAAAATTCTGATCAAAGCTAAAAACAGAACATTCTTTCCAGAGGAACATCCAAAGACAACACAAGCAGAGATGCTTGTATGTTTTAACAAGTGTGTACAGTTAAATGTGAATTCCCCTATTTCAAAGTAATGCCCCTAATTCAAGTGGATCATTTGATAGAAAAAAAAGATGCCAAAATAAGGTGCTTGTTAAAAGTCTTCAGTGCTATGAATGAACGTTTAATCAGCACATAATGCAGTGTGATTCCCRTCTTTTTGCATGTTGAAAGGTAATGGATATGCTCCATGCCATGGGACCAGAGACTGTGGTGATCACAAGCTCAGATCTACAGGCACCTCTAGGAAACGATTACCTGATTGCTCTGGGAAGCCACAGAAAAAGTAAGTCAAGAGCTCCATCCTCTCCTGGGCTTTCTTCTAACATGTCTGTGCTTGCAGTTGCTCCTTGCAGGAGTAGTTTGATCAGGCCCATCTGCAGTGCATGGAAGGAGCTCAGATCCTTTAGATCCCCTAGAAATGAGCACCTTCTCCTGCAGTAATATCAKGGAATGGTAAGGCTGGGGCTGCTCCACGAGGGAAGAGCTGAGTGTAATCACAGCAAACTCTGTTCCCACCCACAGGGCACAGACCCACAGGACCTGAATGAGGTGAGCAGGACAGGGTGAGTGGTGGCAGACAGGTGCCACTGACAGTCCAGACTGAGGGAAACAAGCCAGGACTGAGGTTAATCTGGAAAATCAAATCATTGAGTCAGGACATCGGGGCTGTAACTGGAATATCTACARTGTAGCTCAGGCAGGGATGCTTGTGCCTGGACCTGAGCTTGTGGGCAGCTCCTGGGCTGAGGAGGAGGATGTCCTTGGTGAGGTTTATTGGCATTCTTGCAGCCCCTGGTCGTGGCCCTGGCAGGTACTAGGGATGTAAAAGAGAAACTTGGAATGTTTTGAATGCTCTTCTGAAGTCACACTTTCCTGTTAGCAGATTGTTCCTCCCTTGAGAGGTTATAAAATACCTTCTGCTGCTTCTCTAAATCCCCTTCTGTAGTGTCACCAAGATTCACTGTGTGTTCTCTATTTCCACCTGAGAAGGCACAGTTGTGGGGGATGAAAAATGAAGGTGCAAGCTCCTTCTCCCCCTTCAATCAAGTATTTACAGTATAGAAGTTGTAAATGCTGTCCCAAGCTGGCCAACTTTTGGAAGGCTGTGCYTTTTAAAAGAGCTGGTACAGAGTTTACAATACTCCTTTATGTTCCAAACAGCAGAGGAATTCAAATAYGGTGATGACTTTTAAAATTATTTATTTTTAAATTCTAGTTATTGCTATTATAAATTGCTGGGTCTGACACTTAACTGTGTGTCTGTGTTGTAGCTAAAGCAGATGGTACCAGGATAACACAAAGAATTCGAGTGGAGTCTCCCAAAGTGGATGCTGTCTTTGTGGGAACAGGAGACTTGTTTGCTGCTATGCTTCTGGCATGGACACACAAGCACCCCAACAATTTGAAGGTGTGGGAGAAGTTACTCATCTCTCTGCAACTTTAGACCTTTTTTCTCTTGAGTTTTTTTTTTAAAACTTATGATCTGTAACGTTTTTTAAAGACTATCTTCTGTTTTGGCTTTTTTTCCTCACCTCAGAGAAAAAGCCACAGAATTTCCCTTTTGCCAAAAGAGACATTAAACAGCATATTTCAATTAGATTTATTTTGTTATTTTGCCAAATAAGATGTTTAGAGAATGCATGCATGTTTATAACTACATATTTTACCCTCAGTTCATAATAAGCACTGAAAATAATTTCTCAGATCTATTTTTCTGTTTCTTTTCCTTAAGGAAATAGAGTTCTCCTTACAGGTATATTATTTCTAATACCTGGTTTGGGAAAATTAAGTCAAAATTTCCATTTTTCCAAACTCAACATAGTTGTCTTCCTGTTTGTCAGCCATGTGACCCTCTTAAGAGCAGTGTTTTTTAAGTAATATTAAGTAGTATTAAGTAATATTAAATAATATTAAGTAATATTAAGTAATATTAAGTAATGTAATATTAAGTAATATTAAGTAATATTAAGTAATGTAATATTAAGTAATATTAAGCTCAGCAGCTGAAGTTTTACCAAAACCTGAATATGTTGTGTTGATGCAGGTGGCATGTGAAAAGACTGTGTCAGCCATGCAGCATGTTCTGCAAAGGACCATCAAGTGTGCAAAAGGTAAATTCATCCAGACCTTGTTCCCGTGTTCTGCCTGGGTTTSCATCAGAAAAAACATTCAAAGACCTTTCTGGGTTTCCTGACTAAAGGCAGCCCCTCAGTGCAGAAGCAGGCAGAGAATTTACAGAATGAGAGCTTGGTAGTTTTGTCTGCGTGTTCCTACGTTGTCCTCCAAGCCCGTTTGTGACAAAGCTGACTGCAGATGTCACTGTTTAGCTTGCAGTGGATGACAGCCCTGCTGACTGTGCCTGACTCAGCTCTGCAAACCCGGCAGAACTTGAGGAAATGCTGAGTTTGATGTACCAGAGAGCTTCAGTGTAGTTCAGTCTCTGTTCCTCTGAGTGTGTGTTTAGCACTGAGAGGGGTTTATCAACTAATAATAGTTTCTTTGCTGTGTTGGCCACGTGAGGAGCAATTCTTTTAGCTTCTCTCCCCTTTGTCTTTCAGTTCTTAAGGRAATCTGTGAGTTCTCTGAGCATGTMTCTTTGATTTCCTGCTTAACAGCAGAGGCTTGTTTCTTTCCTGGAGAGAGGTGTGGAACAGTGGTGATAAGAAATCACAGTGCTGACCTGGATTTTCCACCTTTATCAGGGAGCAGTAAGGGAGGTTGGGGAAGGGAGGAAGGTGGAGAAAATCGTGGGGTAACAGAACAATGTAACTTGTTTGTTTTTCAAACTGCTGTTTTTAATGACATTCTGATGTCATCTTTTTAGTGCAAGCTGGAGAAGGAAACAAACCAAACTCAGCCCAGCTGGAACTGAGAATGGTCCAAAGCAAAAAGGACATAGAAAACCCAGAGATCATAGTGAAAGCCACCGTGTTATAAAGGCTCCGCGTCTCCAATAACGCACAATGTATCGATGTCCTCATTTCTTTCCTGTAAATTGTAATATTTGCCTTAGATCTGTGACAGAAACCTGACTTTCATGAAATAGTGCCCAGCATAGGCAGATATCCACTCTCAAACATATGTGCTGGCCTTGCTCAGTTTTAAAAACAGAACAGTTAGTGTGCATTGAAGCATATTCCCAGGTATCCCAATGTCTGTCAGATTCACTTAGTCTGTGTGATTACCCAGGGCAAGAGAGCAATGTTCCTGCCTTGCCAAAGACTGTAGATGTGAATTTGTTAATGGAATGCTTGACTGACTGGAAAATGTATTTCAAGATGGCATCTAGTGCCAATGGAGCTGGCTCCATGCTCCCTTTTCCTGGAGGTACCTGGTTACCTACTCTGGTACTCAGTATCTCGGCTGCTATGAAACTAAGCAGGGTTAAAGCTACACACACTTGTGTGTAGGAGTACTTTGAAGATGTTTGGCTTGTTCAGTACTCTGAAGTGCCCTTGAGGTGTCATTCATGTTACTGATCTCTGCTCCTGTTTCCTGTCCATGAACAGCTGCACAGTTTTGGTTGTTGCAGGTTCTGGCTGCTTATTTCTCATGTCTGTGGGTGCCCACATGATTTTCCTCCCAGAAACATCTTCATTARTAAGATCATGCCTTTATTCAGTAGCACTGGTTGGAAGTGTGTAGTTCTACCTCTGAGGCCCGGTTTGATTCTCTGTTTTTTTAACAAAGGACAAAAGAGAAAGCAGCTCTTCCCATGAAAGTTGTCTGCCTTGGTTTGTTCACCGTGGGTCGATGTACCTACAAACTGCATGGGCATTTCCACTTAACTTTAGTGARCACTGTTGGCAGGCTTAGCAGTAAAGCAATGTAGGAGAAGTAGCATTTTTGGTTTAGTAGGCTCTGGTAAGTTACACATGTTTACCAAATGCATTGAAACAGAAAATTAACTTGTTCATAATGTCTCTGCAAGCAATGCCAATTAGAGATTGCAGAAAAGCATTATTATTCAKGCATCTTGATTTCAAAATTCTGCTTGGTAAGGCTTCAAAATGGGATTCTTAATAATTTTAGTGTCCTGTGCATCACAGCCACATACTAAATCAGCAGGGCAGGTCAGCTGACAGGTATTGAGCACTCACACTTGTGTAGGGTTTCTGTATGGGATCCATGTTCATGCTTGTCCCAAGATGAAGTCTAGTGATGTTAAATCCAAATTGAGTTGATGAGCGTTACTTGTCTCAGGCTGCATAAGGGGATTGAAACTGCATTTCTAATTGATTTCCTCTCATGCATTTGGCATCAAAAGTGAAAAAAAAAACATGTTACTTGAGAATTGTAAGGAAAAAAAAAAAACAGCAGGAATTTATCTACAAAATGTGACTCTACTGCCACAGTTTTTAGTAACCACTGTCATGAATAACTTTTTAGCAATAATAATTCTGGTGTTGTGAGCAGTTGCTAAACTTAGCAGTCAGTAAGAGMGATAAGAGCTCACGGATGATAACCCAACCTGTAAAAAGACACGAACTACCTTGACAGTGTGTACAAGTATCTGATGAGAAGCAGTGAAGAAGGAACCAGGCTTTTCTCAGTGGTGCCCAGGAAGGGGTAAGTAGTCAATGGCACAAATTGAAATACAGGAAAATCCATTTAAACATTAAAAAAATGTAATTCACTGTGAGAGGGATCAGACACTGGCACAGGTTGCCCAGAGAGGTTGTGGAGTCTCAAATGCTGACTGAACATGGCCCTGAGTAACCTGCTGTACTTGGCCCTGCTTGCTCAGGGGGGTGGATCAGAGGATCTCCAGGGGTCCCTTCCACCCTCAGCCATTCCTTGATTCTCTGAGTACATTGAACTGCCTTTCTTTGAAGCGCTGGATTYTTAAATTGATGCAAATATTTGTTCTCTCTGCAACACAAACTTCAAGATGGGCTGTAAAATACATTAATATTTTGCCTCCTTTTTAGATAAGCTGCTGTTTGCTTAGGCAGCTGTGCCAGGAAGACAATTACCTCTTTTGAGATAAYTGCTTTCTGCAAAGAAATTTAAATACCGTAGCTGGTGAAGCATTTCAGCAGTTGAACACTCAAAGGGTTTTAACTGTTTCTAACATTGATTAAGCAAGTGCTGCATGYCATATTCCAAACATAACTATTGAGYTTATTAATCTTTTAAAATTAGACTATTTCATGTGGAAGTGTATAATCCCTGCRGACCTCTTAGGAAGAAGGGATCAACATCCTGAACTTCACTGCCTGTGCAGACAATGGCCAAAACCCTTTTATTAGCTGTGAGACAGCACAATTTTGTTTTGCTGTTAGAATAGACAGACGTGACAAGAGAATTGAGAAAAAGGGAGGGCTGTCTTCTCTGAAATAAAGAAGCTTGGAATTTAGAAAACTTGGAGCTACCTTGCAAACAAGGTTTTAATTGTGAACCATAATGAGCCATGATCTTGACATAAAAGACAAAGTGAYATGTTTGTTGGAGCAGTTTATACCTGTCAGGTGTCATCTTTTCCACTTCTTCAAAGAGCGGATCAGTTCAGTAATTCATACCTTGCTTAGAATCTGTGACATATCCATGTTAAAAAAAAAAAAAAAAAGAATATTCATACTAATGTGCCCAATTTGCAAAAGTTCCTGTTTCACARTAGCTGGATCCTGTAGCAGTGGGCTGCTGGCTTCATCTGATTGAGTCCCAGAGGGTTGCTCATGTGGTACCTGTTCTAAACTCCCACTGACCTGATCTAAATTAGGTCAGGTTTATGTCTTCAGTGAAGAATTGGGCTTAACATCTCTTGCCAGGAACAAACATCCAGAAATTACCTGTAAAAACATTCTGTAGCTAACATTTTGTAGCCACAGCAGGCTTAACAGGCATTTTTGAATGTCAAGGTACACATTTTTATTTGTCTTAGAGTTACACAAACTCATGTGGAGAACAAAATTCAAGACTCAGCACAGTCCTGTCAAATCTTTCACCCCCTYCTCTCCTGCATATAATATCTGTATCTTTCTGAGTTCTGCTGCCTGTCTGGTGCAGCTGGAAGGTGTCTMAGTGTCAGACAGTGCCCACTGTTTGTTTAGGGGCTTGGAGGAGGCTGACCAAGCATTGTCTGATTCACTTGCAAACAGTTAGTTTAAAGGTTAATCTAAACTAGCTTAGATCCTAATTGATTACAGGAGAGCAAGCACTTTAKCCCAGAGAGTGGAGTCTGTAATAATGGATAATCTTCCATGGCCGTCCTGAAAGCGTGCAAGGTGTCACCCAGCAGTGCAGCACTCAGCAACTGGGGACAGGTGGCTTCACTGCCACATGTGTCAGCTCAGAGGCACACGAGGCTTCTCCACGTGGAAGCATGGGAGAGGTGAATGCTTTGTGTTTGTATCCACTCGACTTCCCTAACATTCTTTCTTCGTTCTGGAATTAATTTGTGTTGGATCCCTTTTTCCCGGAGTGGTTTGCAGTGCCCATGGTCACTGCTCAAGCCCACCCTGTTTGCAGAGCCACCTGTGCAGGAGAGACCAAAAGTTGTTTACAAACCATCTACTCTGGGCCTGGATTAGTCTCTACACTCTGAGAATTGAGATGTGCATAAAGACACTGTGCTAAAATCCATGCTATTCACACTCAGTAAAAACACTTCAGAAATCTGCAGTATGAATTGTTAATGTTTGTGTGCTGRTTTTTATCTCAAGTGGGGAGAAATCTATAATCCATGTATTATACAAAAGAATCGGAGGACCAAGATTTCCAGCTACTCATACTGCCTTTTGAGTATCTTAACTGTGTCTTGATTGGATGGTGTTCATTTGTTGTCTGAGACTGTTAYGGTGATTGTATTGATTAATTTTATTTTAAAATATGTGGCAAGGAAGATTGTAATAAAAGCATCTACGTTTATTATACTGTGCACAYACAAATTGTTAGATCCTATTTTTAAATATGTTAATAATTTCAGAATTAAACAGCACAAGAATGGTTTGATAGTCTTKCTGAATAAAGTGGATGTAATTAAATGTTTCCTTAGTTATGTCCTAGGATAGAGAAAGTTTCTTGGAAGGGAGCACATTTGTGCCCTGTAATCATCTTAGTGTAAGATGGATGTGGAAGTGAGTAACTTCCTTGTTGGTTTAATTTTTTTTCTTTTTAAGAAGTTTAATGGGAAGAAAATTTCTGGCATTCTGCACCACTCCCTTTTATTCCTCTTGTATGTGTTCTTGTATGTGCACAACTCCTCATTGTGTTGTGCTCTTTTTTCCTGCAGACAAGGTGAGAAGAGGGGCATGGAATAAGAACCATAATTCGTTTTGAGATCTCTTTCTTGTGCAGTATTTAACTGCACTTCCTTTCACTGATTTTTTACCTCACTGTGTAGGGTTGAGCACACAGGACTGTAGACTGGGAAACAATTGTTCTTCATACCAGAGCTTCTGTCAGCACTCAGCAGTGTTGGTTTGCAGGAGGAGCAGCAGGGATCCAGGTTCAGGACAGCAGAAAGTGCTGTGTCATTATCCTTGTGTCACTGCACAAGTTTGAATTTTTGGTTTATATTTTTACTAAAGAAAACCACCTCTCCTGARTAAAGGTCCTTGCCCAGTTAAAGAGTACTTTTTAAAAGCTGAGACATGTTACAAATTTTGGTCACTCTGGTACTAAAATACTTCTTCATGAAGGGAAACACAGCCCCTTCTTTTACATCCCCTTGCAGCCGTACTGGCTTACTGACTATAGTCATTCCACTCCTGTTAGAATCCCAGGATTAGATATCCAGAGAGCTGTTCTTCCTGAAAGCACACATTCTTCATGTTCCTGGTAAGTGAGAGCCTGCTGAGCAGTTCTGTAGCTTTCTAAAACATGTCCATTAAAGACATTTCATCAACCATGGAAACGAAGCTTCGAGATGCTCAATCACAGMCCAGAAATAGCTCTTTCAAATGAATAAAAACTCTCTTGAAAGTGCATTATTTTCACTAAATGAGTTTATACATGCATGCAGGAGCAGAGTTCAGGTAAATCCATGAGGTTCAATCAGYCACTGGAGGAATGTGCCCTGAGCAAAGGGCTGCTGCTTCAGGAGAGACCCAGCTCCTTCTCACCATTTCCCCAAAGGGAGGAATGTGGTGGCATTCAACAACCAAGGGAAACTCCCATCTGCTTCACCAGGAAACCAGTGCCAGGTGACAGCCCCAGTGCCACCAGTTTGGTGCTTYCAGTGCTCTGGCAGCAGTGGAGCTCGAGGCAGATGGGGTGCTCCTGGATGTGCACGAATTCCTGACTCAGTGCCTCCACAGTGCAAATAAACCCCCAATTTGCAGAGCAGTGAATRAGGCAGCACATTATTCAGAGAGAGAAAACCAGCAATATGAGAAGGCTGTGCCATATGTTACCACTGAAATCACACTTACCTATTGCCCTTGTGGTCGCATTGCTGTTTAGAAAAAAAATCTGTGTGTAGAGGAGTGTAATTTATGTACTCTGTGTGTGTGTGCGTGTATGTTGAAGCTTTATTTGCAATGTGGTAGGGGAGGGAAACAGAATTTGGGGGGCTGGCTGAGCAGGCCTTCAGGATGTGAGCAGAAGGTCTTAAAGAATTATATTTTTATAGATTGTTTTGAAGCTTTGGGTCCCAGCCACACAGCCTTTTCTTCCAGAGAAGTGAAACAGTTTGGAAAGAGTCAGGTGGCTGTAATACAGTAGGGATAGTACAACCCCACCAGCCCTGGACAAACTRAATAACTTAATAAAAGATGCCTTTTTAAGTAATATTTTTTTAGTGCTGAATTGTTAAACAAAGAAATATTTATGAGCAAACTTTCTATGTCCTWAAAGTTTGTGTGGTGCTTTGTAATGACTAGGTGGACCTGTTACATGTTTACACATCTTAATGATTGTCCTTGAGGCGTGTGTAGTAATTCAATGACTTCTRTGCCAGAAAAACAATGAAATTCTGTGTAATAGCAAATTATTTAATTTCTGATGAAACTTTTAGGCTTTTTTAGTGTTTGTGTATTTTTTCTGGTYGGCCATTACAAGTTGTATCCTTCCTGCAGTAAGGCTTGTATGCTTGATTGTAGAGAGAGGCAATAGGATGGTAGATAACCATTGTTTAAAAAGAAAACCCTAAATATTGCTACCTTATCCATTTTAAAATCAGGTAAGGTTTAAGRCACAAGCCTGAAATTTTGCATTGGAATCAAGTTTCAAATACATTTAGGGTAGGCTAAAAACTGGGGATGGGTTTGTTTATTTAATTAAATAAGGCTGGGAGGTCTTAAAAGTTCTCAAAAGCAGCATATACATGGACAAGGCAAGAGACTGGAGCAAAACTGGTTTGTTCCCACTGTATAGACCTGACCAAGCTATTTCATAGCTTGTGCTAAAAGTCTGCACAGATGGGAGTAGACTAAATGGGAAAAGTAAAGATTTTTTTCCTTGTAGTTTGTCAACTGTTAAGCGTGTGAAGAATTTTAGTTGTGTGCCCTGAATTCAAATTCATAAATACCTTCCAGGAGAGTTGAATTACTGATAAAATCCCATTCAGCCAAAAGGCAAAGCTGTTCACAACCAGGGTTCAAAACCAGAGCAGGATTTTTTTCATCTTCCTAAGCAYTCTGAGCCTTTGTTTCTTATGGCTGGGAGACCGGGGCTCAAGCACAACTGTCCAGATACATCAGTTTTTTTGGTTGAACTTTGGGGCCTCTGAAAAGCACAAGGGTCTGCAGCATAAAAGGAGGTTTTGGAGTATGCCCCTATGGTAACTGTTGCTCCCCAGCACAACAGTTGGTGATCTGGCAAAAATGGCAAAACTGAGCATCACTTATRTCCCTTTTAATAAATGTGGCAGCATCCTGACCACTCTTGTGAATAAATCTCCATTGCAAAAAGTAGAGGAAAATTTATCACGAGTTTTTCTCCCGAGAGTTCCCAATTTCTGGATGTGTTAAAAGAGAAGCACTTCTGCTTTGCTAAGTTAGCAGGAGAAATGTCCCTGGGATGAATAATGTATGTCTGAGGAGGGAGCTGTGGCAGGGACAGMAATGCTGGGGTTTGCTGTGCTGGGCTTCTCCCCTGGGAATCTGTGGGTGCGGTGTCCCCGTGCTTTGCCACATCTTCCCTTGGGGGAAATTGGAGGAGTTGCTCTGAGCACGTGGAAGCTGAGATTCGTGTGGAGTTGTTGGGTTTGTTTTGCAGGGCTGTACCAAAGCTGGGGCGCAGCACAACCCTGAGTACCCAAAAGCCCATGATGTACATCCCCCTGCTTTCCTGGCCTCTGTGTAATTCCCTCGGACGACTTCTGTCAGCCATGGAGTACCAAGAGACTCTCTAAATGCATTTTTCAGTTGATTCAGGCTTAGCTTTTTTTTTTTTTTTTTTTTTTTTTTTTTTTTTTTTTTTTTTTTTTTAAAGAAAGGCAGAGAATTATCAACTGCTGTGATAGATCCAATTCATTCAGCTCAGCTCTACCATAAAACTGTGCCCTGACCTTCCTCTCCCATCACCTCTGCTGGCCCTGGGATTTGCCAGTCCCCATAAACAGGGATGTGAAGGAGCTAAAATCAGTGGGGAATTTATCCAGTCAAAAACCCCTGAAGTTTTCATCTC